CCAAGCCTAATGGTTAGGACCTAGCCATGGAAGACACTGCTGCGATAGGGGTGGGAGGCATGGTTAGGGGATACAGGCTCAGCCACCTGCCCCTCTGGGGTCTCTGAGATGGACAGGGCTGAGTTGCTCTGGAGCATATGCCTTCCTACCAGGCCAGCTGATGGCTGCTCTGAGGATTTGTTGGGGTCCTGGGGTACACCCCCCTCCAGCATAATTTTCAAGCCAGGTGTGGCACCGGGGGTAGCAAGTGACCCTGCCTCTGCTTGTGTTGCAGATGGACTCAAGGCCATGTTGTCAGGACAGCCAAACCCCACCAGGAACCAACCAGGTGGGTCAGTGTACCCCCAACTGGCCCTCCAGCCTGCCAGCAGCCCCAGGAGGGGAGCACACATCCTACTCCCTGACTTTCTGGCTGTGTGACTTCATCAAATGCCAGGTGGGGTCTCAAGAGCTGATCTGTTTGCTTCTTGATACAGGTATTGGGGGGGGGGCATAATGGGAGGTGCCAGCCAAGCCCTCCACCTGAGGAAAGAGACATTTGTCCACTGAAGTTTTATTGAGCACCTACTACGAGACAGGCACTGCCAGCACAACACAGGGTCTCTGGGGCTCAGACAGCCACTATACCTCATCCTGGACCACGGTTATGACATCCCCAGACCGGTGCTGGGAAATGACCCTGCATCCCCGCACAAGCTCCCCCCAGGCTCAGAGACACAGTGTGGACGTGGTATATAAGGATGTACAAATGTACAAGGGAGCTGGGTGGCAGAATTGCAATGTACACATTGTCCATTCCAGTTTGCAAATGTGTCCTGCTGACCTGCTTGCCACTGGCCATTAGAAATTCATCCCCTGAAACCAGCAGGACCAGAGGGAAGGGTACACAAGACACAGCCTTACTGCCGGGGACCACCGGGAGCTTGAGCAGCTCTTGTGTCTCCCCGCGGTGCCTTCTGGCAATGGGAGATTCCCAAGCTGCCAGGAGACAAGCTGTGGGGGTGTCAGCCTCCGTGGCACACGTCACTCAAGGAGATCGCATGGCTGCAGCTGTCTAATCCTCTGGGGGACAGTACGGCATCCTTGCCAAGGATGGACACACTGACCAGCAATGCAACCTCTGGGCACATGCCACCCTGTATGTCTGGAGTTGTGGGCGCAGAGTCTTGCCAGGGTTGAGGTTACAAAAGGTCTCCTGGGCCTCGCATGGCCACTGGGTGGGCCATGGGGCCACGGGGTCATGGTTTGCACAGTTGGGAGGCACTGCTGACACCTCGGCCCCCTGGGCCATCGAGGCAGGGCTGCAGAAGACTTCTGCTGTCTCCATCTCTTCCTCCTCAGTCGGCTTGGTGCTTGCTTCTCATGTCTTCCCCAAAATAGAGGATCTGCAGAGGTAAAGAGGCCAGCGAGGGGTGGGACCATGGGTGTTACCCAGTGTCCTTATCACACACCTCCACTTTCGAGGGGAGTTCTGCAAGCCTTAGTTCTCAGAACCCTTTGCTGTGAATTGCTCCCACCCTGTGTTTGGTTGTGTGCACACGTCCACCAAAGGAGATGGCGTGCGCGCTCACTTTCTCTCGTAACTAGGCGTTCCTGGCCCTGAGATACAGTCTTGACTATCTACAGAGGTGGCCACCCTCCCTGAGGGTCATGGTCCCAGCTTCCTCTCTGCCCCACATGGCCCTGATTGGATCCTGCACCATCCCCATGGGCTGGCTGGGCCCCCAAAGGCTGATGACTGGGTATCTCGGGGGTCCCTTGGCCTCCCCTTGCCCCCTGAGGTTCTACCCTGGAGTGCCGACTCACCGTAGAGACTTCCACCTCTCTTTCTCGGTTTGGTTCTCTGGACTCTCGCTTTCATAAGAAGCCAGGTAAAGACCTAGGGAGAGAATGAAGGAAACGAGGCAGTGACGTTTGATGACAACACCTGGTGCATGCCCGCAGCCTGGCCCGCTTTCACGAAAGGAACGTTTTTATTTTGAGGTCATTGCAGCTTCACCTGCAGTTGTCAGAACATGAACGATCCTGAGTCCCCTGGACTCAGTTTGCCTTGGCAGCAACTTCTTGGTGACGTAGCCTCTTGGCGATTCTATTGTGATATCGTAGTTAGGGTATGGGACATTTCTGCCACCTCATCTTGCTTTTTTCTAGCCACAACCACTTCCCACCCTCCTCCACTGTCCTTGACCCCTTGGCAACTACTAACTGTTCTCATTTCTATAGTTTGTCCTTTCAAGATTGTTCTATAAGTGGAACTGTGCACTATGTATCTTAGTCACCTAACAGCACTGTCACACTGCTGCCACACGTGGGTGGGTTGAAAGAACAGGACGATTTTCTCACAGCCCTGGAGGCTAAAAGTCCAAATCAGGGCTTTGGTCATAGGAATGTCTACCTCGACAGGAGTCTTGGTCATGCTTTGATTCTCTAATGATCATCACATGGTATATGTCTTCTGCATGTTATTAGATTTAGAACCCACCCTATTTGGGTACTATCTAATTAAGATAATAAACAAAACCCTATCTCCAAACACAATTATACCCACAAATACAAAGGCCAGGAATTCAACACATACATAACACACATTAACTTTTTATTATGAATTAGTTTTCCATTCAACAACTCATACACCTTTTATTTCCTATCACCGATTGCAATCACCACAATGTAGCATCATGCATCCCACCTCCCCCTTCTTTATAAACCCTTCTGAGCACTATCCTTGGGTACATGTTGCCATTTGGATCTCAAATGGTAGACTATCTTAAGTGTGCATATCTCGCTAGTGTTATTGTTCCCTGTAGAGACCTACCTATTGTTTGGTTGAAAATTCAGCCGTAGGAGTGAGTTCGTTTTTGGACTTGAAAGATAATTAAGTACCACCGTCTCAGAGGTTCCACCAATCTCTACCCAACCATTATGCTGGGTTATTTTTATGATCTTTGAGTTTTGGTCCACATTTCTCTCCCATTCTATCAAGAACCTTCTGATGCCATCCCTTTCAGAGGAGTTGGTAGTGGTCACCGGGCACCGTCTACTTCTTCTGGTCTCTGGGTCATGGAGACGATTGAGGTTCCCATGACCCATTTGTTCATTCGACTAGTTGTTTCCACGTATCTTCCATTGTCTTCACTCTCCTTTCTTTCTGACAGGGCGAGGTCAATAGTGGCACCTTGGATGGCCACTCACCAGCTTTTCAGTAGGATGTAGAACATTGTCTTTGTGGACAGTTGGCCTCAGTGTCCCCTGAGACCATGATCCTGAGAACCCAGGCCCGCCCAGTGACTCATTCCTTCAAGATTATGTCTCAGGACTACGAAGTTTGTGTAAGTTCATCTCCTGTATGCGCCACCACATTCATGGGTGTATTGGCAGTAAAGGATGTATAAATATGCTCTATCAAACATTTATGTATTCGTGGGTAGACTCCCACTTTCCCTCTCACACCCAGTCAGACTGCGTGTCTATCTGTGCATCTGCTCTTGGCTCACTGTTGATGGCAGGGTCGTGGATATAACAGTACTTATCTCTGTTGCCTTTAAGTCTTGCTCTTTGAGTGCCTCCATCTCCAACATTTCTCACCGAGCTTCTTCCAGTTGCATGCGATCTTCTCTTTCACCCCCCCTTGTTGTTGTTTTTTTTAGGTACCATTAAATGGTTCTGACCCATAGCCATCCTGTGCATAACAGAACGACACACTGCCAGTCCTGTGCCATTGCCACAATTGTTCCTGTACATTGTCCCCGAGCCCATTGTGCAGCCATGGTGGCAATCCATCTCACGGAAGGTCTTTTCTTTTTCACTGCCCCTCTGCTTTGCCCAGGATGATGCCCTTCTCCAGGCACTGTTCTCGCTTGACTCGTCCAAAATATGTAAGGTGAAGTCTTGCCATCCTTGCCTCTAAGGAGCACTCTGGCCGTACTTCTTCCAAGACAGGCTTGTGTGTCCTTTTGTCAGCCCATGGTACTTTCAATATTCTTGTCCAGCACCACGAGCCAAAGGTGTCAATTCTTTTTAGTCTCCCTTCACCCTCTAGTCAGTAATTCATCCTCCTGTCCCCTCTCACTCCTGGGAACCATCAACTAATGCTTCTTTTAGTGTGAAAGCCCGTTCTTGATGTTTTACAATAGTGGCTTCACACATATTTGTCCTTCTGTGATGAACTTCTTCCACTTAGCATAATGTCTTCCAGGTTCATCTATGTTACATGGTGTTTCCTATTGTCATCACAATTCCCTAACATTGTGCAGTGTGTCCCAAGGTGTCTGCACCACACTTTCTTTATTCATTCTTGCATCGATGGGCATTCAGGTCATTTCTATCTTTTTGTTATTGCCAGCACATATTTGGGGGGAGGGACACAATTTAATCCATACCTTTATGTAACATTTTGAGATTGGCTTTCTTCATTAGTGTAATCGACTGGGGAGTCATCATGTTGGTGAATGTACCTGCTACATACTTAACCCACTATTTTAACAGGCCTCATTTGCTCTAAAACATATACA